TCCGTCAAACACCCACACCTTCACACATTCTGCTGTGTGTGTGTGTGTGTGTGTGTGTGTGTGTGTGAGACGGGGGCTCCGCACCAAATGTTCCTCTGATATGTGTATCCCTTTAAGTTATTTTCTTTTTGTGTATCCCTTTAAGTTCTTTTCATTTCCCTCTTTCCTTTCCCTTTCTTTTCTTCTAATATCTTCTTCTCTCCCCTGCTCTACCTCTCCCTATATGTCTATTCTCCTCTCCGCCCCTTATTTATTAAACGACTCAATGAATAAGTCCATGGGTGAGTAGATGGATAGATAAAAGAAGAGAGTAATAAAGTGGACCCGACCCTCTAAACTTTTAATGAGCTGTACAGCATCTAATTATTTTTTTCAAAGGCTGCAGATATTCAGGAACAGAGGTTTGATTTCACATGTGGCGTAGGTCACACTCCTTCACATGGATGGTGAGAGGGATGAATTATCCTGTCCTCTCTCATTAAAGGAGAGACACACTCCCTCCCTCTCTCACACTACACATCTTCAATCTCACACCTCCATTTTTTAATTTACTGCCATTCCTTAATTTATCCATCTTTATATGTAAATTTATAAGTGTGGTAATCACACCCACATCTTAAATTCTCCATATAGTTCTTGTTTGCCCTGTAATTCATATTCATGAGCTTCATATATATGCATGAAATGCAAATAACACAGCTAAATGCAAAGAGGTCCACCCAGGTCCGTCGTGAGCCAAAACGTCCCGTCTGTCACCGGCATAATGCCAGTTAATCAAAGTATTAACGACAGATTACACTGATCTAGTGCTGACATGAAATATTGTTGGGTGGAGAGCATGTGAACGTTTGTGCTGATCTCATTGCAATGCAAAACGCAACAAGAAACATATTAGCTACCTAGAGGGGTTGTATTATGGACAAATGTGTGGATATTGTTATTGTATTTTCTTTCTAGATTGTTCTAAAAGTCTTAACATTCTGTTTAATTCTAAACAACTGTTTTGCTGTTAGAAACCTTGAGTAACCTTAAAAATTAGCTTCAGAGCAAAACAATAGTGTGGACTATGACTCAGTTAGGATCGGCATGAAATGTGCCTCTATTTTCTTCGTCTGTGTCAGCAGCAGTACACTGTGTTTCATCAGTTCATCAGATCACATCAGAGAGAAACAGAGTCCTGATCTCTGTGGTCCTGCAGCTGAACCAGCAGAAAGTGTCCGTCTTGTATAGCTGCAGAATTAATGATAAACGAGTCTGGAATCACCTCAGCTCTTTATTCAGAGAGATAAACCCGGCCTGGAAAAGTAAGCAGAATGTATTCACCACCCTCTGCTGTAACTCAGAATCCCTGAATGGAAAGACCAGCATGACCCTAGTATTTCACCCTTATATGGTGTGTTTAGATCAACCTTTTCTCAAACCTAAAGCTTAACCAGCATGAGTAGCTAGATGCAATCTGTAAAAAAAAAAAAAAAAAAAAAATATATATA